ATTTGTTCCTTTTAAAGTATTGTTCGGGGTGCTACACAAAGTCACAAGGATCGATCATCCAATCATATCCAAGATTTTGTACATCCACATCTGAATCGCCTGTAAACCATACACTTCGTTGTACGTTGTACAAACTCCGTTCCTGGTATACACTTCGTTGTACGTTGTACAAACTCCGTTCCTGGTATACACTACGTTGTACGTTGTACAAACTCCGTTCCTGGTATACACTTCGTTTCACTCCGTTCCTGGTACATTAATCGTATCAATATCGATCTATATAGGCAGTATGTTAATATAATGTTAATATTTTGATGATTTGCTATAAATTTATCCTGAATATTTATTATTTGTTAGCGAAGAAATAGAAATATTTTTAAATTTTGTACATGAGACTTAGGTACCTCTGGGCCTTGTTGGCTTGTTTAATTAATTGTTTAATATTGTCACGGGGAAATGGGAGAATTCTAGGATGGAGTAACTGCGACGAATTGTCGCTTCACAATCGTCGACGTCGCGTAATGTTACTCGAAAGCAAGATGAGGCGGCTTTCGAGCAAGTTACCGGGTAAGTATGGGGACTTTTCAAAAGAACGTTTATTGGTATTACACTCTTTGCACTTTTTATAATTTATAACTGTTCTGATTTATTATTATTTCCTTTAATTTACAGGAATAAAAGGGCTGGGAGGTCATGGGGGCCATGGGGGGGTCCTCTCCCACTTAACAACAAAACGGAGGGCTTTTATAACGAATTATCAGGGAAGTATGCTCGAGAACATTCCCCCTTTCTTGCATTAATGTTTCCTTTTCTGTTAATTGTACAATCCCACCTTTTGACTCATGATTCCGTCTTTTAATTACCTTCTCTTTTTCGTAGGTCCCGCTGATAGAGCTACAGCCGCATCTCCCTAAACGTCTTTGCGGTTTGAAGGCTCTGTTGTAAGTCTGTGAAAGTAAGTATTACACCTTTTCCTTGTTGCGCGTCGTGGTGGTTTTACTAAGTCTTTCTTCCTTTTTAGGTTTAGCGACAATTGTCGCATTTGGGCCCAGACTTACAATCGTGGGTGACTTGTTCCGGATCTTGGGGCTTCTCTTGCATACAATGGGGAGAAATCGGGGTACACGATCGCTGATTATCCAGATTGCGATTCCGGTCACGTTTTCTGTCACGTTTTCGACGATCGTTATGCAACGGCTTTAACCGGATTTCCCTCTAACAATATTAATTAATCAATTTTAATTAACATTCTATTACTAGAAACTGGGTAAGTACTAATAAATTTGTTTAAAACAAGAATATTATAATTATTAAATTATCTAAGTCAACAACTAATTGATTAAAAATTTTAAACCAACTATTAATTGATTAATTAATCATAAATTAATTAAACAAATAAATTGCTTAATCTTAGGATAATTACTAATTTATTAAAACTACTCTAATGCTATAGCCTGACATAAAATTTTGTTGTTTTAATTCAGAATTAGAATAGTGAGATTAAGTGGATTAAACAAATTAAAGATTGAATTTTTTTTGTATGTGACCAATGTAATTATAAAAAAATTAATAAAAAATTTTATTAATTTAAGTATTTAATATAGGCTATTCAAGGTTCAGATACATTTACTATTTATTTTCCGTTATTTAGAGTGTAGGTATAAAAATTTTAATCAATATAAACATTTACAAGTTTATGTATTTACTAATTATTATTTATTGATACATTTTAGAATAATTGATAAAAAAATATCGAATCACTTCGATCATATATAAAATTCAAACTATCAACAAAATGATATATAAGAATTACTAGTGTCGAATATTTGATTAATCTATATCTTTTTCGCTTGTGTTGTATTTGTGAACAGTTTTAATTACTTAAATTAATAAATATTTTTATACTTACATTAAAATAAATAAGAGCAACTCGAAGGGAAGCTAAAGTAGGAAATTATTAAAAATTTACCAGACAAAAAATGCAGATACATTAAGATAGTATCTCTCAGGATGAAACTATCTATATATTGGTGTTGCGGGAAAACGTTTGGTTCAAATTACAGTTGGTTTAAATTAAGAATAGAGCTAGAGTGGAAATAAAGGTATAGTTTAGGCTAGTTAATGCTATCGATTAACTTCAATTAATGCTGGTTTAATAATTAGCATCTGAATACGTTAGTTACAACATACACAGCATTTATAAACAAAAAATTAAAAAACAAGAATTAATAATTATAGTTTCTTAGTTATTATTATTAGTATAATTGTCACCTATTTTGATTAAAGATGTTGAGAATTATTTATAAAAACAGAATTTTCATTTCTTGCTACAGTCACTTTTTTTTTTATAAATGTAATATATATTCACTAGAATTGCATGTGATATTTTCAAAGTTAACCTTATTATAAAGTTGGTTTTAAAAATTTAGCGCAAATACATTATTTGGCACAATTTCTAATGGTTTGCTTAAGTCAGCAAGTGAATTTTAATTTCTATTATACTTTAGACTAACGTTTTTAGATGCTGAATTTTTTTTGGTCAGCATTAATTGATTATCATTAATTGGCCTGGGACGTTACCAATTATTTAACTTTTAAGTGGCCTAATATAAAAAGGGGTTTTATAAACTAAAAATTTTTGGGGTGACATATTCCAGGGATCTTTTTAGATTCCAGAAACGTAAAATTGATAATCGTAGATCAATTTTTTTTCGGTATAAAATTTGTTTTATAAACTTGTTTTAGTTCTGAATTTAGTAATTGATTATCAATTCTGTCTGATAAACTTGTTTTTTAATCAACGATCACGTAATAAACATATCAGACATCATTTGTTTGCTTGCATGATCAATCTGATGCTCGATTTTGATTAGACTATATGAAAGCATGGCTATGTATGCTAGTATTACAAAATTCCATGTTTAGATCAAACAATCGGTAAAATGTAAAGCCGGTAGCATTTATATTTGACAATTTTGTGAAACTTTATTATTCTGGATTATTCTGGATTCGAAACGTAAACTTCCGGAATACTTACGTACTATTTACTAATAAGGACTTTGAATAAACGTATTGAACCCTTGGAAGTCTAATTATGATCTTAATTATGATTTTAATTATGATCAATTTCGATTAAAAGGAGACTTATTACTGTTCTCTAATTTTTCATAAATGCTTTTTGCACTAATTCTACGAATTAGACTTTTGACTGCATATATTTAAAGAGCAAGAAATAAATGTGTAATAAATTTGTGGTAGAGTTTTTTTTTATTATAAATACGACATTAAGTGAGGTTGACTTCGTATGATAATCAATCATAAAATGTGTACGTAGCGTTAAAAATTACGCAAATAAATGTTATTCTATTTTTTGTGCAATTTGCACAGCTCATTGTTAATTTTGTGCCATTTGCACAGCCTAATGTTAATTTTGTGTAAATGACAATATATGCGCGAAGAATTTTTAACATTGACCGAAATCCTATTCGTATAGACAATCATACACTGTTTAAGGGTATGTTTAAGGGTATGTTTAAGGGTATGTATGTAAACGTACGTACGTACATACATTAAGCCTTATGAGAATTGCATATATTAAACCAAAAAAATTACCATACTAGTTTTTTCTTAAGAATTAATGTATTTGTAACAACATGTTACACGTAACAACCTCGGATTAGCCAGTAGTAGTTAGAGTTAGGGTTTGGGTTACACGAGGTTTTAATTATTTTTATTGGTCTTACGAATTGAGTTGTTACAAATAAGCACGTAACAGATTGTTACAATTAGATTCGTCCTTTTCTTAATTCGATATTTTTTTTTTCTTATACGTAATAAATAAATTTGATTGCTTAACTAATAATAAAACGCAAATACCATTGTTATTTTGAAGAAAAAATGTTTTAATAAATTTTTAGCAGTTTTTTAAAGTATTCGTTAATTTCAAATAAATAATGAGCACAAAATAAATTACCTTACAACGCAAATCTCGCGTTATTGAGGTAAAGGTTGATCGTCTAACATAAGAATTTTATGTTATTTGTTAAATTAATGTTAATTACGATAAACAAGTCACACATAATGTTATTTTTAGAACACATGATCGTTATTAAGATCATATGTGTTTCAAAGATAACCTTTTTGAGAATCTATTTAACATACGTATAACTGTAAATTACTTAATTTCGCGAGTAATACAAACCAAAATACGTATTTGAGGTTAGCGACACTTTCTATATGTAAAACCTTGTTCCCAACCTTTTTAAATCAGTGTTTGAGTATTTTAAAATCTCGAATTTTGAAAAAGAATAAAAGATGAATTTAATCAAAATTCACATTTAAAAATTATTGATGAGTGTTATTATAGAGCAGCAAACGTGTATCTATTAAACATCACTAAGTTATAACTGTATAACATGAACGTGATCACCCTAAGGCAGTGTTGTCACTTGGAAGATTACTGGAAGGCCACTGGAAGTAAATTAATAGTGTCACCAGAACCTTAAGTTCCAGTGATATTATTGATTTACTTCCAGTGACCTTCCAAGTGACAACGCTACCTAAGGAATAGCAGGGCTGTTGTTTGAATAAAATCCAGGTCATTACTAGTCATGTGGCATTTATATGATACCTGAAAAATTTTAGCATACAGTACGTATAGTAATACGTATAGTACTGTACGCGGCACATCACTAGTCATGACCTTGAATTATGAAAGATTACATACAGGATTTGGCATTTATTATTATAATTTTATAACTTGCAATTGTTTATTGATTAATTTATTTAACTCGAAAAGCCTTTATTTAAATAGTTATTTTTTTTACAATTTTTACATAAGATAAAAATGTGCTTCGTAATTAACATCAAAAAAACAACTAGTAAATTAATACAAGAAATTTTGTCAAGAAATCAGTTATTTTTCTATTAAATTATAGAAAGTTGTAGATAAAAGTGTATCTAAAGAAATTGTTCTCATTAAGATAATAATAAAAAAATGACTAGGGTTTTCCTGGAAGGGCCGGTACAGATACACTAGGTTGACCATTAGTGTTAATACCAACAGACGCACCATTTTGACGTTTTCGTTTACCATCAATTGATAAAAATTTAAAAAAGTCGAAGCTAATAATTGTGGAAAACGGTTTAGTGCCACCATCTACAAAATCTAAACCTAAATCGCCTGTCAAAGTATAAACAGTCTTTCCAGAAGGATCATTGAGAACGATATCATAACAATTTTTTTCTGTATCAACGAAACCTTTTGAAAACATGCCATAGACAGAAGTAGTGCAACTAACATCGTCGTAAACGAAACTCATAACACCGGTAAATTTATCATCGCAAAATGTTGATGTTGCAAAGACGTAATCATAACATTTTTTCTCTCCACGTTCAAGTAAAGGATTAACATTGCTTTGAGGAATACTCCTTGCGGTTGAATCTTTGATCGTAATTAAGAGGAAAATTAATGCTAAAACAAATTTTATAATTTTATTATTCATTTTATTTGTTTTTGTTTTGAAAGCTTCTTTAGTGGCTTTAGTAATGACAATTCTTAAAAGTTGATTAATGTCAAAATCAAATTTTGATGAAGAAAACTTGAAGGAAAACACTTCAGTTTATATAAAGATTTATTTCTATATATTGTATATATTGTATTATTGGTTAAAAGAAACAATGTTGAAATCGAGTTTGAACAAAGAAAAGCTTATACAATAGGTAATAAAAAAACTGGAAACAAAGCTTCTTATTATTTACATACGCAATGATTTTGAACTAATTTTAGATTCTAATAATATAACAAAAAAAAAACTAAAAAATGAAGCAATAATTCCTATTTAACACGAACCGGTACAACAGCACATCATTATAGAAATAAAACACTGAAAATAAACATCAAAAATAATAATTCCAAATAGAGAACAATGTTGTAAATGGAACGAAATTTAGATGGATTCAGAATTCTTAATAAAATTAAATTTTAGAATTATAGCGGTTTGCATAAAAGGTGTGACCCCACGATCTTCATGATAACGATAGTGGTGAATTTCGAAAATTCCGATTTTCTATCACAATCTATAGCAGAGACCGTTAATGTTACACGTATATTAAAACTGGTGAGAGATTATCCAACATAAATAATTTAATTTATGATTGATCACAGGCGAGAGGGATTCACTCTGGATCGGGCACTGTCTCTGCTATATCTATATAGTATAATTATCTTAGAATTGATAAATCGCCAATTTACATTACACGATGATCTGCAGAGGTCATACCTTTTTGCAAAGCGCAATAAAAATTTAGATTAGAATTTATTTCATACGTATGAACCTACATCTTAACCTGTTCCCACTTACAACAGAGACATAATAATGGTCATTACTTTTTGTTGCATTTTGTCATACAAAGCAATATTTAGAACCCGAAGGCGCAGGTTTGCATAACCTAAAATTCTAATTGAAAATTTTGAGTGCTACGTACTGGTTTTTTTTTTTGATAATCTACTGTATAACTGATGTACATAAGAAGGTGTTCTCAATTCCTGTGTGCATCAATAATTATCATGCAAAATTGTGTCAAATATCTAATCTATCATGTGAACATCTTTGACATGGTCCCTTAGAGCTCTTGAGTCTAAAGTCAACTCAAAAAAGTCCGTTTTAGTCCATTCTAAGTCGACTCAAAAGATCAACTCGGACTGTACATTTAGCATCTCTAATTATAATAAATCGTTTAGTTCACAGATCCAATATCTAATTGGTCGGCGTAATCATAACCGTCACATGGGTACGTACATATAAATTTTCACATGTTATTTGCATAGCCACAACTCTAATTTTGTGATCAATTTTCAATAAATATCAATACGTAGTTCTTGATTTTCAAATAAGACACCGTAATTATTTACGCCTGTTGTGATACTATTTTGCATATTCTTTATATTCGTAACTTAATCCCATATTATTGTTGGAAGTGTGAACTAAATTTAAGTGGATTTGGGATTCTTAACAAAAATGTAATTTTAGGGTAGAATTTGCTTTATTGAAACTTATACTCTAATCCTAACCCTAAAGATAAGAAATTCTAAATCAAATCAAGTTCCGTTTCCATTTACAACACTAATAACATACTAACGTATTAGTTGGTTTCGTAATTAAAATCAAAGAATCTTATTTTATTTTTCAAAAAATCCTACTAATAATATACTAACATATTATTAATTATAGCCAAAAATAACTGTAAGCCTCCACAAATTCATATGCAATCATCGAAGGTCATGAAGCAGTTTATACAAAATTATGTAAATATTGATCATGCATACTAGCTATATATGTATTGCATGATATAATATTCTGAAAAGTCTTTATGCGATCAATTGAGTGGTTTATTCGAAGAACACCTTTATAAAATTCATCTTGCAAAACTACGGATTCTAAATCTATTTTGCTCAACTTCCAATTAATTAAATTTTTGCTTCTGATCTATTGAGCAAAGATCTAATTCAGCATTAATTTTATCAAAACCATATAAGGCCTTTAAAGCATGTAAGTAAAGCACCAAAAGACTAAATTTGTCATAAAATAAATGAGAAATTACCTAATTTAGTGTATAACACGGGTATATCTATAGATCTATATAATACAACATTCAAGCGCAAAAAATTAAAGCAAAATTAGATTAGGCTAGGGTATTTGATGTACTAGTTGTGTACATATATATAGTAATCTCTAATAAATAAATTAATTAATAATCCAATAAATTAATTATTTGATAAAAAAGGCGTTTGTTAGATTAAATACATATTCTAGCGCGTTCAGACAAACTGAACGACAAATTGAATGGCTAAGACAGATTACAAAGATTGAAGAACCAAAATGATACGTTCTTGTAGTAATTATAAAAAAAAAAAATCCCTCACGATCACTAATATAACAAAAACCATTTATTAAACAAAAAAAAAAGATATTATTTTTACTATGATCTAAATTTATTTTTTTTGGCTTAATTAACACTTAAAAAACATTCTTTGAAAAATTGAAAAAAAATACATCGGTCAGTTATGTAAAACGAAAAATTGACTTTGCTTGGCCTAACCTCGGTTTTTCACATCCACTAAAAACACCGGATTTTTTTTTATTTGTCCAATTATCTTTTACATAATTGGCAAATTACCATTAGATTTTGTGGCATACCTAAGCCTCATTCATTCCTAGATTCCTATCCGTTAGAACGTAGAATAACTTCTAACTGATATACATTCAAAATTGTTTATTAAGTCAATAATTTAAGGAATATCTATTTTTAATGTTCCGCCATTATACACTAATAAGGAATGATTGTGGTCATTAGATTGTACTTACGTAGGTACATACTTTTGCAATCAACTATCAAGAAAGATTCACTTGAGGCGTCATACTAATTTGAATACATGCATCGTTTAATACATGCATCGTTTACTTGCATGCATGCATGACTTAATATTTTAAGGTCCCTATATTTTAGGGTTAATTCGAATCTCAAATAATAGGTATGATCTACTAGTCCCTTGAAATATTTATGGTACGTACTAGTAAATATAATCTTAAGTATAATCTCTGGATAATAAATCATACAAAGTATATTTTATTTTTCTAACATCTAGTACAGTAATTACAGTGATCTCAAAAGCAATAGAATTCACAATGATATTATTTAGCCCTTTTTATAATCTTATAACACAATATCTATTTTTGATATGCATTTATATGCTCATAATATCAGCGAAATCACAGCTTACCAATTTTGCATATAACGAAAGTGTTATAGATACTGGATATTCTCTTTTTGTACAAAACCTTCAAACTTATGATGATGGAATAACTCTTGTTCATATTACACGACGCGATCCAACAATAAACACAAATTGTTCAGTGAATTTAGGATTATCTTCACCCTTACAAACTTTTGGATTGGAACAATTATTACGTTTAAGAGTTATTCAATTAAATGGATCGGTTATCGAGATTAATCTTGATTTAAACTTAATTACACCAAATTATTGTGTAATGCGTCAAACTAGTGGAGGCATAGTGTTTCCCATTAAAATATATGCTTTACAAAAACCATTAATTCTAGTAACATACGTAAATGCTACAAATTCATCTGATCCTAATACTTATGAAGAATGGGGAACTGTTATCGATTGGTATAGCAATATTCGAAGGTATTACCGAATAATTTATTTGGTTTTTAAAGATTATTAATGTTAATCTATCATTATAATTTATTATTATAATTTATCATTATAATTTATCATTATAATTTATCACTATGATTTTAGTAACATATATTTTGGTCCGTCTTTTGTTGATAATTCTAATAATCATTGGTCTCCGCAAAGTTCAATTGAGTTAAATATAAATAAGAAATTGGGATTTTTTAGACTAGCTTTTATAAGAAAAGATGATCCTTTGAATCCTTTGTGGTATGAATGGCGGCAATATACAATGTAATGTAATTTATTCTTCTTAATTATCATTATCTTTGTTTTATAATGATAACGATAATAATTATTCATTATAATTATATAGTGATATTAATGGACATTTATCAATGTTACAAAACAATAGTATTCCACTTAGTCAATTTACTAATCCTCAAGTTAAACTTAAAAGCTTTCAGCTCGTAGCAATGTCTACTATTGATGGTGGTTATGCTTTATTCTATGCTAACTCTACTGAAAATGTTAGTAGTAATCGAACATTAGCTATACGTGGCACTGTATATGCTAATTTCATATCCTATAACAAAACAGTTCAAGATAGAACGATTCTTCTCTATGAATTAGATAGAAATGTAACTTTTAATGGAATTTATTGTGACTTAGTAGCTGTTGGTTTTGGTCAAGTTTGCACATTATCTATCGACTATACAAATACAACTATCAACCCTATCAATAATAGCACAATAAATAACAGTACAACAAGTTATGTAAGAATTTATTTCTTAACATCAGGATCAGTATTAAAAATAGATGTATTATCCGAACTTCCTAATATAACTAGTATACCTTTACAAGGTTGGATGATAAAAGCAATGGCATTCGGTGGTTACATATTACATGCTGGTGATGCTGTTAATTATGCTCATATAATTTATCCTTATGATGAATATAACTTTCAAGTACCTTTGGTTTCAGCAATATTACCAAATGGTTCTGTTTTTATTAATAATAATTTTTCTACAAATCCTTATGGTGCAAATGCTATTATGAATAATAATAATACTTTTCTACTTCCATCATTCAATATAAATGATCCAAACACTCTTTGGTCTTTGCAAGCTATCCCACTACCTAAAGTTTTAGAAGATCATGGTATATTATTATTGCAAAATCTGTCTTTTTTATAAAATAATTAACTTTATACATTTATAATGTTAATGCTTAAACCATTTTATTTACGTACTTAGATCACGGTTATGGTAATCTCCAAATAGACAAAGTTAACCCACCTATTAATAGTGGTGTCGATCCTTTTACTGCAACTTTAAGCATAACCTTCTATGATCCCGTTATTTTATCGGTTGACAAAACATCTGGTCATATCACCATTTATAAAACTTCCGATAATAGCATTAGACAACAAATTTCACCGACAATGAATGATTTTTGTAAAATCAGTTTGGATGGAAAAACTCTTTATATAAATATTATTAATAGTGCATTTAATCAGTATGGTGAAAGTTATCATGTACAAATGGATAATAATTTTGTTAAAAGTAAACTTTATAATGAACCTTTAAAAGGAATTGGTGATGGGATTTGGAATCTTACTTCAAGTATATATTTAGAAATATTTATTACGTTATCTACTCCCTTATTTTTTTCAATATTTAACTTTATTACGTATTATTTTTAACCAATTTAGATGTTAGGAATAATGTAATCGCATTTAATTCTTCAGGTAATTATCTTACAGCATATTTCAATCTGTTTATATAATTATAAATCTCAAATATAACTTATATAACTTTTATATAACTTACGTAACTTCTTATAGTTAATGCTATTGTTGGTTTGGTCGGTATTACAAAAGATGCCAAGGAAAAGTTTTTATCCTTATCATCCTATGATCGATCTAAATATTTTATGGATTTGTTAAATGAAATTTCTATTAAAGTACCAATTCGACGTTCACGTTTAAGCACAAATAAAAGATTTCAGCATAATGATTATGGAAAACCTGAAGAACAAATTATTTTTTCTATTAAAATTGATGTAAAATCACCGGATTCAGATGAAAATACTGTTGATAGTGTGGTATCGGACATATATAATATGATTACTTATAAGGAAATTACAACCTTTTCTAATGGTCTTACAAATGATTTGGATAAGAATTTCGGCTTTGAAGTGATGAGTAAGTTTATTTATTATGCTTTTTTTTTTAAAAAAAAAAGAAAAAAAGACAAATAATTGACGTTAATAAATATTTTTTTAGGTAATTTATTGGTCGATAACCAAACCTTAATTGTTGTATCGATTTTGGTTCTTATAGCAATCACAATTTTATACATCTTAACATTCAAAGATGTTTTAAAAAATTTCAATGCCGAATTAATTAAAATCCTTCATACATTTTCAAGTTATGCAATAATTGCTACAAATTTCTTTTTTACGTCTTATTTTGTTATTATGAATTCTATAGAAAAACCAAATCTTTTTTTGCCAAGGTAAATTTCTTTTTTTATTGATATACTTCTCTTTCTCTCTTTTTTATTTATTTACTATCGGATTATTTACTTATTATTATTATTTCTTTTTGTTTATTATCTTGTCTCAGTATAATTATATGGTCTATTCAAATTGGCATAAATTTTATTATGGTTATCGTCATGCTTATTTATATCTCTGAACTTTCAATGCCTACGAAAGATGATATAATTAAAGCTTTCAAAAATTTTGGTATAAGCATATATGAGATTTTTAAAAGCATTATAAATTATATTAAGAACATGAATGAGAAAATTTTTTCCGAAGCAAAAGAAATGTATAATAAAATGGCTATATACGCAAAACTTGAAGAAGAACAACCTTTAGTAGAAAATATTAAAGATTTAGTAATAATTTCTATTGAAAAAGATCCTGATTTAATTTCAAAAAAAAACGATACAAAGAAATCAGATGAAAAGTTTGATAAAAATAAATATTATGAAATAATTGGAGAAGTTATTAAAGAAAATAAACATGATAGTGTTCATATAATAAAAAATGATTTCGAAAATTCCGAAAAATTAAGTAAAATTTTTGATAGAAAAAAAGATGAAATTTCTAATCAAATTAAATCAGAAATTAATCATATACCTGAAATTCTTAAAAGAATCTTTGAAAATTCACATGATAGTTCTTGTAGTAATGATTTAAAAAATATTAAACCTGAAGATATTACTACAGAAATACAATCTACTACAAAGTTATTACAAGTTTCAATAAAAATACATCACGAATTTCATGAAGAGAAAAGAAAATTAATTCTAGCTGAGATTCATATTGGAATTGCGGTTATAATTTTAGATAAACTTGTTGACATTTTATTAGATGAATTTTTTATCTTATTAGAAAAAAAATTTTTGAATACTATTAAAGATAAAATTTCAACTATTAAAAAATCGAAAAAAAAATCGGGCAAAGATGAAGAATTTGAAGATGAATTGACCAATGGCGCTAATAATATCAAAAATGAGATTTTTAATAAATTTAAACATATTAAAATTCATGATCTTAAAGATAATGAAGAAATTTTTGATGGACAAGAAGTTTCTATAGAACAATCAAACAATTCCATTAAAATTTCCAAAGAAATCGAATATAAAATTCTGAATAAATTTTATAAACAAATTTCTAATGAAAGTTCTGATGTGGAAGTAACTTTTAATGAAGAACAAAAATTCACTGAAATTGAAAAGAAAATTTCTGAACAAATTCAACAAATAATTCAAAATGAATATTTTCTTAGGAACATTTACAACAAAATTGATAATGAGTTAGAAATTTATGGCAAAATTGATAGTGAGCTAGAAATTTATGACAGGCATAAAACTCTTATCGAAGAGAAAAAAAAGGAAACTCTTGATCATGAAGAACAAAAAACTATTGATCAAATTCATGAATGTCATGAATGGGCTAAAAACCACTTACATGAAATTTTTAATAAAATTTATAATGAAGAAACTTCCAATAAAAAGCAAGATTATGCTGAAATTCCTAAGGAAAAGCAAGATTATGCTGAAATTTCTAATAAAATCAAAAATAAAATTTCTGATCAAATCCATAAAAGAATTGAAAAAAAATATTTTTTTGAAATTCTCAAGAAAATTTACGAAGATGAGGATGGGAATTACGACAAATCAAACAAAATTTCTGAAAAATTTTTCAACGATGAGAATAACAAACCTCTAAATGAAGAGCCAAATGAAATCATTGAAAAAACTTACAGATATGAGAATAACAAACCTCTATACGAAGAGCCAAATGAAACTATTGAAAAAAATTACAATGATGAAAATAACAAATCTCTTAATAAAGAATCAAGTGAACAAATAAGAAGCATTTCAAAAAAAAATCGAAGAAGCACTTTAAGCAAAGCACAAACATATTGTTCTAATGTGATACAAAATGATCATACCAAAATATCCTATAAGGTTGATAGAATCAAAAAAATATTTTCTGGAACATTGAAAAAAGCACTTCATGTGAAAGAAGACATACTTATGGATATGAAACATATGTTATTCATCATTTTTGTAATATTTGATAGTGAATCTTTAATATTTATGAATGACATAACAGAAGATTATATTAAGAAAATAACATATATTAATGTGAACAAGGGGCGAAATACACATGATATTATATATATAGAAGAAAGGGTTAAAGCAGTTGAAGCCTGTATTAAAAAAGCTATTCGAATTAAAGTATTGGTAGAAATTTTTTGTAGAAACATTCCACTTATTATTATTATGGTATTTTAATATCTTTTAATTATTAGACATATGCATGTCACTCTGGTTATATCGATATCTGTATATAATGACATCTGGCTGTAACATCATTCTTTAATTTGCATACTTAATATGTGAATTTTCCTGGTTATACCGACATTTGGGTATATCAAACAAAATTTTGTTTTTAAAGAGCGTTGATATAACCGGAGTGATGTATACAGTTTTGATATAAATGTTCAAATATCTTATCTAATTTTATTTATATCTTGTTTAAAATAGGCTATTTATACTTCATCAATAGTGATCTATACTTATATGCCGTTTATGGCGTTGATAACCTCCTGCCTGAAATTTTTTCTAATCATTATTTTCGTATGCCCGAAGCGATTTCTAAAGCTTATTTTTAAAGAAACGGATCCAAAAAACACCAATTCAGCTAGTACTAACAACACTGTTCAATAATGTTAGAAACTTATTTATATCGAATTTTTTGTTAGGGATAGTATCACAAAAATAATAGCTTTACTACATATTTGTGCAGGAAATCGATGTTTAACATTGAATCACCCTAGAGTTTTTAGGAAAGGAAAATTTCTTATACTGCAATATGGTAATGCTTTTGTTCATATTCAACTGTAATTGCAATTAGTTCATTGTAATTGTGAAAGTTATTTGTACAAAGCATATTATTGTTCAATTCTTTTTTAATCCATTGCTAAATAGTAGAATTTTTATATTTTTATAATTATATATTATATTTTATACATTTTACAAAATATATTTTGTATTGATTTAATAAACAATATTAAAGGATATATATTGCGGATATTTAATTTATGTCATTAAAAGAAATATTTAATTATGAATATTTATTCAAGCTTGTTGATGTTACTGTATTAAAATATTTTTCATTAATTTGGTGTGAATTTAAGAATATACTGTAATAATCAAAATATTTATACAGTATCCAATAATTGTAGAGTCATAATAAGCCGCCCGATATTTTTAAAATTCGTCCCATTCTAAGCATAAGAACTTCAGTAAATAAAATACAAATAAACAAATATTTAAAGCATTGATTACAAATATCAATTACACCTTTATTTTTAGGTTAATAATAAGTATCAAAAGGTTACAAGTTCTAGAACTTAGTTACTTACAGGGCAATTTTAAATCATATAATGCGTAATGAACATGCCAGGGACCAGTGTTCCAGAATAAATCGCTTAAATGGGAAACGGACCAGGAAAACCACTAATGAGACCCGATCCTTATAAGCAATAAATTAAAACTCAGATATTTGGATTTCAAATATCGTAGTTGCTTATTTTTGAGAATTATCTCAGCTAATAATATGCGTATATAATTGACGTTTTGCTAAAAATAAATAGTACTTGCTCTTCTACAAAAAATTGTAATTTTGATCAATCGAATTTTAAGATCAAAAATCGAAATGACCCAACTTTTTACAAAAAAAAAAAACAGAAATAAGCTCTAAATTTTTATTAGAAAACCAACCTTCTGTGGTCTAATTAAACATTTTTATCCTAACTATAGCGTGGTTTTCTTAGCAGGAAAGACATTCGATTCCGGGATCGATGTTACATGAGTATCTATATAGGATAGTAGTGTAAAATCAGAATTTTCGGGTATTAGTAACTTTAAAAAAAAACATACTATACTTTACTAATAAAATACCTTCGCATCATGTAATAAAAGGTAGACCTATTAAGAGTTGAAGTGCTGTCTACTGTGGAGTAGGAGGTAATAAAAATATATTGTATTGCTTAATTCTTATCAGCATTGTTTTTCCTTTTTTTTTTATCTATTATTGTTTAAATAACTAACACGATGTTTTTCTATAAACTTTACAGACTGTTTTCGAAAATTGTATATTCTCTAGAGGATATTTAATTCAATAAAAGTCGTTTTAAATATACGATAGTACAGTAGTATAATTTTGTTAATTATGTAATAGTTTAAAAATATTAATAAAGAACGTGTAACTTCTTATAAAAAACTTTTCTAATAAGTGTCTATACTTTAAAATTGTTATTACAAGCTGAGCGAATAGTTTTATTGTTCTAAAACGCGACTTTTTTTGCATTAAAGTTGAACTTTAAGAGAGATATTAAAAAAAAATGTAAATTACGCCTGTTGATTGGCTGCATGGTTCAATGATTATCTACAGTATCTGTTTACGTATATCATGTGCAGACAATATGGTTTCTGATTAAGTTGATTACCATATGAAGTCCGAATAGATTTAATTTTATACGCAATTTTTTACTAGGTAAATTTTTGATTGGTCAAAATTACAAGGGGTGAACAATTTTTTGTGGGATCGCTACCTAAGATTACGAAATTTTAAATTTTCCAAACGACATGTCAATTTCGAAGCGACGTAAATTTAAAAATGACAAAGAACATAAACACTTTAAAAAAAACTAATTAATAACTAATAAACAACTCTAAAACTAATATAAATTTAAAACCTCATTCTTCGAATAACTCTAGATATCATGAGATCTAATTAGTTAAAATATTTATTCGATTGTTGCTAATCCGAAAAAAAAAAAAATCAGGGTTAAGGGTTGTTTATGTGAGAAATGATAACCGGTTATAACTAAGTCAATAAACTAATATTTACGAATAGTGTTTTCGTGTGACAAACAGAAAGAGGCTAATATCAGGATCTAAAATAGTGTAGATAATAACGCATGAACATATGCATGTGCATGCTACGTATCAATTTTTAATGCGTATAAATAGTCAGTGGTATGTGGCCTTATTTTTTGTGGGGTGTGGCCTTTTATAAGGCCATTTGCGCACTAAAAATATTAACAAAATATGACGATAATAATTTTCTATTGAAATTTCGATTTTATTAAAATACGCAAATTTTGTACATTTGGTGCAAATTCTAATCGATCTATTAATAGCTGCTCGCATTATATATAATATATATATGCGTATATTTGACACTCTGATGTTTAACTTTCTTAGTACGATACATAAAAGTCCTAATAAAATTAATATTAACTAATAATAATCAATTATGAAATTGTCTAGCTATCATAATCTTTATTTATTTTTAACATCTCTTTGTATTCTCATAACATCATTGAAATCAGATGCAACCTCTCTTAAACTCTCATACATTAACTATACAGAAAGTGCATCAAGCACCACATCCCCTGGTAGTGCACCACAAGTAGTAAACGTTCAAACTTATGATAATGGGGCAATTCTTGTCAGCGTTGCACGAAAAAGTGATTCACAAAAACAAAAAGACAAAATAGCAATATATAATTCACTCAACTGCACACTGATTTTTGAAAATATATTACGACTAAGAGTCATTCAAACAGACGGAAAAATTAAAGAAATTAATTCCAATTTGAACCTTGATCCTGTGAATTATTGTATATTTAATGATCCATACGGAAATCCAGTGAATCCTATTAATATATACACTTTACATAAACAATTTATTCTAGTAAATTATGTGAAAGTTGACTCTGGAAATTATGAAGAGTGGGGAAGTGTTATTGATTGGAGTGGTAACAGTCTAAGGTGTGAGTCTAAGGTGTGATAGTGATTTATTTGTAAATTTTATGATTTAACATTGTTAATATCAACCTATTATTTTGTAAATTACTAGTGATGTTCATTATGGTCCGTCTTATATTAATTCTAATGGCTCTTGGAGTCCACAAAGTATAATTCAATTAAATGTGAACAAGAAACAAGGATTTTTTAGATTTAACACTGTAAGAGTAAACGGTTTAGACCGGACAGAATGGCAGCAATATCTTGTGTAAATTGACTTTCTTGATACTTATTATTATTATTTTTTAATTATTTTAATCATTTCGTAATGATGATTATTTATTATACTATATAGTGATGATTCCGGAAAGATATCAAAACTGACAAATAATAGTATTTCACTAAATGACCCAAATTCTAATAATTCTATAATCACGACGATATCTACTGTCACTGGCGGTTATGCTATACTGTGTGTTAACTCATCGATAAATTATAACACTTCAACATTAACCACACGTAGCGGATTATATATAAACGTTATACCCTATAATCAGTCAACCCCATCTGATCAAGTTCTCCTATATCAATTAACCCTTCCCAACATAATTTTTCTTGGACTTTATTGTGATATAGCACCAAATAGCATCGGTTATATGTGCATAATTGAAATTAGTTATAATTCGCAATTGAATTATATAAAAGTTCATTTTTTAACTTCTGAATCAGTGACTTCGATCAATATATTATCCAATATTCCTGACATAAGCGCAATTAATTTCACATCCAGAAATCTTGGAATGCAAGCAATGACATTTGGTGGTTATTTATATTATGCTATGGCTAAAAATAACAGTTATTATATTTGGCCTTATGATGAAAACGACCAAATGTTGACTCCGCTGGGTCCTTTTTCTGCAAATGAATTTACTGCAAATGTTATTTATAACAATATTAATCGGAATAATCTTAATTCCGCAGTTAGTATTATGGGAAATAATACTTTTATAATCGCTTCCAATACAAGTAGTCAAAGTACTTCGTGGTCTCTGCTCTTTGTTCCGTTACCTCGACTTTATGAAGGTCATTTATTACATAAAATCTGTTTTTAATACACTTCTATTAAATATTTAATATTTTGTATATTTTCTAATGATAATATTTAGATACTGGCTACGGTAATCTTCAAATATTTAACATTATGCCGCCACCAATTAAACCACCTAACGACGGTACTATCGATTCTTCTACGACTTCTCTAAACATTACCTTTAATCGTTCTGTTATTTTGTCGACCGGTTCTATTACTATTTATAAATCTTCTGACAACACAATTAGACAAACAATTTCTGCAACAATGAGTGATTATGTTAAATTTATGGATAAAAACCATACGATTGTCAGTATAACTATACTTAGTAGTACATTTAATCAATACGGTGAAAATTATTATTTACAAATGGATGCTAATTTTGTCAGAGATGAGATGTTATCTGAACCCTTAACAGGAATTAATGAAGGAATTGTTAAATTCACATCGAGTAAGGTTTTTTATTTATATTTTGTTTTATTTTATTTTTATATATTTCAATTAATATTTTTATATATAATTTAGAAAATAACCCACCTCCCTCAGGTATTTAATTAACATAAATTCCTCACAATTTTGAAATTTCCATGAATTAAATTCTTATTTTTTTTTTATAGAGGAAGCTGCTATTTGTTTGGCTCGTCTCACTACTGTTGCAACAGAAAAATTTAAAAATCTCGCTAATGCCAACAAAACAGATTATTTTAAAGCTTTATTGCAAGAGATTTCTAAAAAATTACCAGTCAGAACAGAACTTCTATCTACAGATAATAACTATCAATATTTAACTATTAATTCTAAAGAAAATGCCCAATTCGCTATTCGTGTGGATAAAACAAATCCAAAAATAGATAATTATACTACTGTTCCAGGGATAGTATCAGATTTAGATAAAATGATCAGGAATAAACGTATCACTACTTTCTCCAATGGTTTAACAAACGATTTAGATGAGACTTATGGTTTTAAACCGAGAGGCAATATACTTGGCGATTATAAATTCGAAATTATTCCTTTGTTCTCTGCTGGTGCAGGGAACCTTTTGGTTTACATCTTTTCTCAATTTTCGGTAAAGTTGGCTCTTAATTTTTATTAAATGATTTATTATTATTATCATTATTATTTTAAATATTAAAATCTTTTACTGTGAATATTTATGATAGTCTGATTCTGATGATTTTAAGCAAATGCTCAATGTAGTCTCAAGTGGATTATTTACTGCTACTCATACAAGTTTTTCAGGCATATTTGCTTTTTCTGATGCTAAAAATTACCCGTTATTAAGTTTGCCAAGGTGTTTTATTAAATGTCATTATTGAAAGTTAATTATGTTTTCTATTTAATTAATGGGTTTTTTTAAAACAGTGAACTCATATTGGTGGTTTCAATATTGTTGAATGTTGTTATGTTTATTTATATTTTATGCAGTGGCGGAGTCAAAAAACTTAAATTTGTGAATCTTTTAACCATTCTTCTAGCATTGTATAATAGCGAAACTTTACTACTTGTAAATGGAATCAAATTACAAGAAATATTTGATGAAAAATTTGAGCCTATGGTTAAATATAGGGCTTTTGCTGATATTTTTATTAAGAATACTCCACAGCTTGTTATTCAGGTAAAGTTTTCATTATAGGATTATTTGTTTAGTTGCCAATTACGTTTATAATACTTTATTATTCAAATATTTTCATTATTTGTTGAATAGGGTTTATATTATAAATTTATTGTGTCTTATAGCATCATTCCATTCTTCACACTATGTACAACTATTTTCATGATTCTTCTTACAACTATTCAATCGATATTTAAGTTGTTTATTCATAAAAAGGAAAGTAAAATGATAATGACTGGAGAAAAAAAATAACTTATCATCAAATAGCCGGTCAATTGTTATATTTTTTTAAGTTAATACTATAACTTACACCATTATCAAAATAAATATAAAAACTTCGGTAAGAAACGTGTTGATTTTAAACATATAACATAATTTTATAATTTACAAATTTAATAATTCATTAAACAGTAATAAATAAAGTAGAATTTACGTCAATTTTTTATTAGAAATAACAAATTTTATTTAATTTTTTTAAAAATTTATATTTAATTAGTATATTGTTATACTTATAATTGATAGGGAAATTCTATTTTGACCGGGTCAAAACAACCCCTAGCAGAATTTTAGGGCTAGTGCGGACCGGAATTATGTTGATGCCGACCGGGTTTTAATTGATTAATTTTGACTCAAGTTTAATTTGACCCATAACATTTATATATCCGTACGTCATACACTAATTTTCGAATAAAAATTGCCTATAATATATTATTTCTTTATCTATTTTATGTATAAACAATTTATTTCATTCAGGATATGTATATAAATACTTATTAATGAATTTTGCCCACATCATTATGGTTGGTAACTTTATTGACCTTCATAATTACTTACCGCTCAATTTATTTCATTCGTATTCTTATCTCTTATAATCATTTAATTATTCATGTTGAAAGTAAATACCAAACATCTGTAGATTCGAGATCAACTAGAGTTGATTGTGAACCCACATAAATGGATGTTTAATTTGAATCCTATTTCAAGTATTAGATGTCATATATTAAATGCACTGTTAGAATGTTCGAAGCTAAAAATTCAATAAATAGCTAACAACTACGATCTAGATATTGTAATTATTGTTATCCATATTATGGTTTGGTTCTGTTATGTTTATGGAAATCTGTGTTGAAGGGTTCTTGTCACATTTCTATAGGGTATTTAACCACCCGAATGTCACAATCTAAAAATTTCGCTATCTAGTCATAAAAATTCCGGATCAGGTGCAGCGTAAAATCACACAATAGTGAAAATTTTAAGCTTATTTCGGATAATTGAATATTACAACGGATGACATATTTTAAAATTGATTTCAATCATAATTAATCTTAAACTTTAACCAAAATCATATAGCGTGTCTCCAGTGAAGAATATCTTTTTTTGTTCTCCTAGAGTATAAATTTTAAAATTTTAGGTTACAGAAAGATTATTAATGTTCTCAAAGGTTCTTGAAAAATTATTTTTTATAATACAATTTGTTTTCAAATAAGAACACAACCTTTAAATATTGTAACTATATATTTCTCGCTATGTTAAAACTGTGACTGAGATTTCATAGAACTCACTATAAAATGAAAAATCGGTTAGGTTCAATTTGAATTTCATCCATTTATTACTTACTAGTCGAAAAGATATGAAGAATCACTAATACTATACATTATATGTTTCGTCAGATAATATAATGCTTTCTCTTTCGTGAACATTTCTTGCAAAATTTGTGTTTTCTCGCTCAAACAGTGGAAAACTCTTCGAGAAATATTGCTTGTCCACCAGAAATTGTTTTGCGACCTTTGTTGAAACCAATTTATGCCTTTTCAAAGGTAACTTTTGCAATTGAACAGAATAATCATATGTATTTGACATTTATGGATTAACAAAAATTGATGGTACCAAGAGATTGTATATTCAGAAGGGTTCGCATAGGAATAATTATTTGCTGTTTTTCACAGAACACCGCCGAATTTTTCTTAAACTCAGTTTGCCACAGAAATCACTTTTGGTTATTGCAGAATATCACAGAATTCTAAAATATCGCAACAATAACCATAAATTTAGGTTGATACCGGGAATCATGGGAAAAGATAATAATTACGAGCACGTCTGTCGCAAGGTTGCAGAATTATATGTTTTGAAAAAATTTAATCGCATTAAGTCGCAGAAATTACAAATAGATATCACAAAATTTCACAGAATCTGTCCTTAACCACACATAGAATTTAGCCTTAACCAACGCAGAAAATCATCGTCCCTATTTGTGCCGTAATTCGTTTGTAATTCACTATCTGATCTTTCTTATTTTGTCCTTTAGAAATAGAATAATGATGAGTAAAGATTCTTCATAAGGAAGGTACATAGCTGATTTCTTTACTGAAATCGGCAGACTTTGGTCAAAGAATCTCATAATAAATATGCCTATATTGTCACATACATGACGTTTTTCCCTAACCCAAACCAATGGAATAGCCAATGGAATAGCCAATGGAATAGCCAATGGAATAGCCAATGGAATAACCAACGGAATAACCAACGGAATAACCAACGGAATAACCAATGGAATAACCAATGGAATAGCCAACGGAATAACCAATGGAATAACCAATAGAATGATAATAGGGCGCAATTCGTGCCCGCCACGGATGTAAGGCAGAGTACAAGAAACGGTACTCCCCTCAGATACTTGCATGCTTATTATTCTCGTTAACGTTTACATTTATAAAAACGTAAACACTAACCTTTATTTCTCGGAATAATGTTTCGAATTTGGTTTTATATTTTCTATACGTATATCTAAACTCTGATGCCGGGTATAAATACGAATCATACTCATTCCATGACTTTATACTTCATTTCGTGAGTGTTATTTCTAGTAGGCCTTGTAGTGTAACTTAGCTATGCTTTTTGTTAAAATGAGCGATAGTAAAAATAATATTGACAAATTTATAGAGTAAACGGAAATTTTCGAAGTGTGAAAACATTTTATAAGCTATTTAATTGATAGATTACATCCTGATCATGTAATTGTTATTGGTTGCTATACGTGTACGGTGTAGCAGCCGAAGTTCCTATCCCACAGTGTGTTACCATCCATCATAGTACAGTGTTCATTTTGTTTTCGTAGAAATGGGAAAGATCAACAAGATCTAAAAATTGGTAAAAGCAGTAAAATCTTCCAGAGAAGAAAATAAAAGAATAAGTATTGATTTTTAGTCTAGAAAAATAATGTATTTAAGTATCGAAAAGTGCCTTTAATAAAATATAACTCTGGAGAGTTCGATCTGAAACAATTAAGTGATTACATCATTGATCAAACCATCAATACATACTGTCATTATTGTAAATTGGGAGAGCGGATAACGTTTCACAGTTTAGTTGCAATTGGTGGGTCGAATAATCTATTACTATTAGGGAGTAATTCTATATACTATTTATAATCAGGTCGATTATAGTTGATCGGAAGGGGGTGGTAGTTTAAGGGCGATCGGGATGATTAATTATCATATTTTAAGAGTGATCTAAATAAATGTTCCGGAGCGTAGCGGAGGATATTATGGGGGAGTAATAGACCAGATTTTGTGTGCAATTATGTCCGCACCTATTTTTAGATAGATGATCATCAATTATCAACTATATCAACCAATAGATTTACTTTTATTTTTAACTACGCTCTGGATATCTAACAGTATCTGTTTTTCTAGTTTAATCTCCGAGTGATTGCTTGATTTAATTAATATTCCTATATGTGGTCCTTCGTAAGCATATTACATTATATAAACTATATAATGTGTGGCTCCTATTTGTTCAGGGAAAGGTCTATTCAGCCTCATTGCCTACTTCCTTTATGTTTTATATACAAAGACAATTTAACGTGATAGGGAAACGTTACTTATTAAGCGAAGTTAAAGTAATTTAATGTTTGAGGAAGTTTTAGAAATGTTTAATATAAAGTATAGTGATTTATTTAGTTAGAACTTAATTGGTAACTTCATAACTGGTTCTTTTTGAAAGGCGAAAAAGACCTATATATATACAATTTTATATCTGATTAAGTCGCTCATATCATTATAAGCTCCTTCATGAGCAGTTACTTCGCCTGTGATCAAACCATAGGTAACACTAAGTTACACTGCTCACATCACTAATCTATGGAGGGAAGTTTCAAGAACACGGAGCCCAATGATCATCACATCACATGATCAAATACTCGGCCTAAGTTAAGGGAAAGTCTCTGGACACCTACCATTCACGTGATTTTTGCACATACCAAATATAAAACCAACCAATCAAGGCTAACATAACCCTAACCTTAACATTTGGTAGGTGCAAAATGACGTAACTGGTAGGTGTCCGGAGACTTTCCCCTAAGTTAAGGGTTAGTTTAGGCGGCCGATTTATTAGTGCTGGTAAACAATGACGTCATCGCATGATTTCACGTGTCGTGATGATCACTGGGTCCCGTGTTCTTGAAGTCTTCCCTTAAACGTAAACAAGGGACGAATTACAAATAAATAACTACATACAGTTATAATTGAAATAATAAAAAGACTATAATATAGATAAATAAATAAATAAGAAGAGATAAAATATGACTTGGAACGACACCGTGAAAGGCATTCGTACAAGGCAATATATTAAGTACAAGAAATACTCACTCAAAGCAAAAGAGATACTTATCCATATCGTATTATATACCCGCAAGACCCTAAGACTCCAAACTCAGACCAAATCTAGCCACCCCTCGATCAAGCCTACCAATTCAGGGATTTTAGGTTTTGCTAAATATTATTTTAGTAATATAGAGTTGCTCATTGCTATATTAGAGTCGGATTACACTTCTACAATGGACAGGGTCAGAATAGACAAAAATTAAGAATCCTTAATTGGGTAATGGGTTACTTTTTTGATGCATTTAAGGTTAGTAGTTTATAAAAATATCAAGAATTCTATTTATGCAATATGTTGATCAATATGTAATTGGACGCAGCTTTAGAAGACCCCTAATGCAGAATATGATGTTACACGAGCAATTTGATTTTTTCAGAAGCTCGAATAGATTATTTCAACTTTACAGAAAAATTATCAAAACTTTAATCAAAATACAGTTAATCATATTTTTTAAAAAATTTAAGGGTTTTTTAAATTTTAATTCTATAAGTTAATAGAATTAAAATAACATTTTTTTATCAAAGTTTTAAAAAAGATTTAAAAATTTTAGAAAAAAGCAAAAAGGTATAGTAAAATTTCTTTTTTTTTCAACTTGAAGTAAAGATATCTTAAAGTTATCTAGTCAAATTCAATAAATTTATTATTTTGATTTTTTTTTAGTATTATAATGAGGTCTTGCTTATATATTTATTAATAATTTTAATTATAAACTTTAGTACAAAAATGTTAAAGTAAACTAAGATTGTGTATAACAAAATAAAAATTATATATAAAAATAAGAGTTCAAACTAGTTTATCTATAATGTAAATTAATTATAATAGTTAAAACTTATATAAATTTGTAATATTAAAATATATTTTAAAAGAATATTATATTTAATCTAGAGAATTAATTAAATATTATGTTTTTTAATTGCTTAATAATTAATAAATTATGTTAAAATATAAATAAAGTTGGTTTGCAATACTATATAGTATAAGTATATATAAGTTTAATAGTATTATTTAGATATTTTAAGTTTTAAACATTATATTACAGAATAGTATTATTATAAAAAAAGTAAAACTTATATTGCAAATTAGTAAAATATATTTTATAAATTATGTTAAAATAAAATTTATATTTAGATATATTTTTATTCTATAAAAGTAGATTTACTCTTATATAATTTGTATAATAAATTTTATTAATTTACAATGTAGATTTTATTTTATTAATTATTATTGTATTATATAGATAAAATTTTGATATTTTTTTAAATTAGAAAAATTAATACAGAATAAAGTTTTATATATATATATTTTTATTAATATTAAAAATATTTAAATTGTTAGTTAAGGATGCAAATCATTAACTCTTTCCAATGATCACTTGTACCAATTTTCTACAGCACAAAACTGATTATAACTCAATATTTTATTTAGTAAACTACTTTTGGGCATCTAAGTAAAGTTGTTCCTAGTATATTTTACACTTAGGCAGCCAAGTTTTATATCCCTAAGTCCTTTATTCACAAAGATATAATAATTAAACACTAAAACCTTTCTATCTATTTTATCATAGAAATTTATTAAGTAAACTATGCTTGCTTACTAGAACAAACCGAAAGAGCTCATTAATAGCTTCATTTTGATATATTATTTATCAAATCTGAATCTAATTTGACTTACTTATTAACAAAATATTTGAAACTCTCTTATAAAAATTTTTTAATTTTTTATAATTTTTTATTTTTTATAATTTTTTATTTTTTATTTTTTGAAGGGTTTTTTGTTGCCTACTCCTGTCCAAATTCACCCAAACAGGATTATTAATCCATATTACACAATCTATTTTTAACAAAATCTAATTATATATTTGTATTCTTTCTAAATTTATATAAATTTTGTTTAACATCACTCTTGATTTACAAATAAATCTATAAAGTGTTACATAGTACTTGTAACACTTTTTTATTTGTCACTCCTTTTTATATATTATATCTACTTATTTGTCACATCTTTTATTTGTTATATTCTCTTATCTGTCACACTTCTTATTTATCATATTCTTATATAATTCAAATCCATTTTAACTCAAGAATCTATATATCAAATCTATATTAAAATCCAAAGCAATCATGCTTATATTTATTAGTCAAGAACCAAACCAATATGATTTAGATTATTTTTTAGTCAAATATGATGACCATTTTGGTACTATAGTTAAAGAAAGCAATCTATAACAAATCAAACCTATCCAATTTGCTGTTTATCTAACCAAATATTATAAAAGAAATATAATTCATTATTTTAAAGCATCCTATCAATCTTCTGTCATTCTATGTCACTGTAAAACATATCATATCATATTTATTTCTTATCACTACTAACTTTCTTCAAGATCTACAACATTTTCTCCTCTAACTTCTGGCTCTGCTACTTCTATGAACATAACTTCAAACTAATTTAAGAAAACCAAAGATACTATTTCTCAGTCATCTGCTACCAAAATTCTATTATAACAACTCATTTAAAGCTACTTCTTCTACAATTACAAATTTTGAACCCAATACTGTAGCTATTAAAGCTCATACACAATATACTCATATCTGTATCATTTGTCACAAACCCAATATTTTATGTATTTTTCTCAGTAATGATAAACATTGTTTTAATTCTTCTGCCAAAATTTATGTGAATTTTTTGCTTATCCTATATATATTTCAAATCTTAAATTGAAATTTGTAACCCAAACTTAACCTCTTAATCAACTGCAACTTATAATATTTTACACAACCAAATTTGCTCTTATTGACAAAGCTAAAAAAATAAAATTTTTAAATAATTTCTTCAACTTCTTAAAAAGAAAAAAGTTATTAAATAAAACAAACTTAAAATTTCACAATAAACCCAAGAAAACCTTTTCAATTGGTTTGAAGAATTTTCTATTACTGAGAAAATAGAATTATTTACTAACTTCAATATACCATTATCTCAACAAATCTTTAAATTTATTAAACCTCATCTTATTAATTTTGT